ATATATATATAAATAAATAGGTATGTGAGATCACCGTCAACGTAACAACGTCCTCGTCATTTGACTACCTGTAGGTACTATATGTATGATTATAAATAATTCATGATCCGCAATCTGCAAGTTCACGCCGATCGGCTGGACTGTTTGTCTAGATATTCTCAATGAAAAGAGAACTGACACAATCCATTACTGCTTCATGGTTACATATTGGGTATTTATATGACATATACGGTAGCCGCTACATTGCATACGGCGGCGGCTAGTTCATTAAACGTGTTTTCTGTAAGTTCTACACATCTCATGCAAGTCGAGCTTTCGGCATTATTGGACGGCAATTACAATAATTTCAAAGGTTTCAAAAGACCGTGAAATCTTATGGACGCGCGGTATCATTTTTCTTCACTTCACCTTGTATTACGTTACTTGTAATCTACTACTTATATATTTTTTACTTTCTCTGCGAGTAGTGATCGCGTTTTGTCCACTTTGGTCTCTTCTACGAGACCAAAGAAAGAAAGTACTGCATCATTAACCATATATTTTCTACTGTTTCTTTTTAGTTAAATACTTCACTTATATAAATATATACGTATATAAACACATGGTACATATAATATGTATAACATGTAACGAAAACATAAATGAGNTGGTTTTTTTTTTTTTTTTTTTTCTTTCTCTCTCGGCGCGTACCTATACTTGTTATTTTTATGGGTGGCAAACCGAAATCGCTAAATTCCATTGTATACGTAATTACGCCAACGCGAATGCTAATTACTAAATTATACGCAAAGCCGTGTATATTTTCGCAAAATGCCAAGCGCTCGGATGTTTTTCCCACTGGCTCGTGTGTCGAGATGGATCTCTCGTTGAGTATAGGTATCTATGTCGTGTTGCGCGCTCGCACCAGCTGAGAAAATGTTTTTTCATCGATGCCCTGGAAACGATAGATGTGCCGCGCATCTTCCTCACGCAAAGTTAAACGGCAATTGTGCATTCAAGCGGTGCTGGCCGCATAGCGTCGTGCACAATGAGTATAGACACGGTAGGTTGTATACTTATATACTTACGCGCAGGGAAATGGTACATCATATCTACGTCTGGAGTTTTGAGCGTATAGCCTCAGGGTCGACGGGACAAAAGAGCGCCGGCCGTCATTGGCCAAACCAAACTCGGCGAGGAGGTGGATGCACGAGTATGACGCGAAAAAGCCTTTTTCTCCTCTCTGCCCATGAGTCTCGTAGCAGCGGTGACAGATACCTGTATCACGTAGGTGTACATACATACCTATATATTACGTGCTCCACCGGTGGCCCGCGTTTCTCTTTCCTCGTCTCTTCCGATGTGCTCGATCTTCCTACAGGTATATGTATATACATATATGTGAGCTCCCTGCCTCCCGCGCGTGGACACTCGCTTTATTTTCATTCGCGGATTCCGGTCAAGGCCGCGCGAGCCAACTTAACGCGTGGGATTTAGCACGCAAGGGCTCCCCCCCCCCTCTCCCTCTCGGCGATTCGTCTTTTTACTCGAAATGTGCTCGGTCGGCAGCATCCACCGCGGGCTTTTTTATTTATTCGTTGGCGGCGACTGCGTATATACGAAGGAATCGGCTAACTCACCTCATCGGAGCGCCAATGGTTTACCCATCGTACCGGTAGCCTCGGGATTTTCCATATACGCATGAATCTTCCTGGGGTGTTTTTCTTCTCTCGAGTATATTCGTGGAGGGATTTACTTGGTATTTAAAAAAAATTAATTGTTTTTTATGCCAAATAATAGGACACGACTTGGTTTTTATTTATTTTTTTTCAAAACGAAATCTTTTTTTTTGTTTCTATTCTTTAAACATAGGTAATATAAATATATACGTATATAAACACATGGTACATATAATATGTATAACATGTAACGAAAACATAAATGAGCACGGGTTCTATAATTGGTCATTCGAATCACCGCAGACTCGGCAAGGGTAATGCGCTGTTTTCGCTCAAGCTCGCTTTATTTTTAAGCGTGAAATCAGATCGGTACGTCGAATCGACGCCTACTGCTCTTTATTTACCCGCAAGCGCGCGGTGACATATTACAACGTGCAAACATAACTTATTCAACAATGTTATGTAACGGCTGTCGCAATTAAATTTAAAAAAAAAAAAACAGCATTACCCCTCCCTCGATCGCTGGAGATCGTCCGTTGCATATCATTTTATAAAATCGCGAGTCATTTGGATATCTAGTAATACTGGCATTAGAGGTTTACAGGAAAAAAAAAAAAAAAAAAAAAAAAAAAAAAAAAAAAAAAAAAAAAAA